CCCCAAAACCCCAAAACCCCAAAACCCCAAAACCCCAAAACCCCTTCAAATCAATTTTATAATTTTATCTGAAAATAGTGGTGAAATTAGGTTACAATGTTATGTCATAAGTTTAGTCTTTGTCCCTTTTGAACATTTTACGGCAGATGGAGTGAGTAAATCCCCATCCTTTTGTTTCTCCCGATAATCATAGTAATAATTTTTAAATCGATTTTGAAGATCATCTACTTCTTTGATTGCTCCATCCATCATTCCTTTTACTTCTTCTAAAGATTTCTTAGAATAATCATCTTTGAACATATGCGATGAATTTCTACCATCATAGTTATCCTTCTTTGGAGGAGTAAAAGGTGATCTTAAGGTTTTATTATTTCAAGCCCTCCCAATCAATGCTCTCGAACCAAGGATGGCTCTTAACCTCCTCAATTCCTTTATGACCAATTCTTTCAAACTTCTTCCTCTTAATACAATGATTTATAAAATCTGCAGATTCTTCACTCCATCTGAGTGGAATTTTAGATTTAGATATTTGTACATCAGTATTGCACATATGGTCTCGAATGTCCCTTTTTGTCCTTCCCAAAAATGGCCTCTAAAAATAAACCAGGAAATTACTCTTCTAAACATTCATTCATAAGCAATGACTCCGATTGCAAAGAAATCAACGGAATAATTGTAATTCTGGCATCACATTATTTCTGGTGCCATGTAGCCTGGAGTTCCACTTGTGTCCACCTTATTATTAAGTCTCATCTTATTTGCTAATTCCAAAATCTGTAACATGAGCATAGCCATCACCGTCAAAGACTAAATTTTCAGGTTTAATATCCCTATGCACATATTCATTGGAATGAATACACTCGAGGGCAGAGATGATTCAAGCTACAGTAAACTTGGTCTCCTCCTCATTAAATTTCACCCCATTTATAAAGTGATACCTCATGTCTCCCCCTGTGAGGAAATCCATGACCAGATAGAGATGACTTCTAGTCTGGAATGCATATCTCATATTTATAAGAAGAGGATGTCTAAGTCGTTCCAGTATTTTTCTTTCTTCAAGAACACTATTAACACTTTTATTTACCACAAACTCTGACTTTAAGCATTTCCTTCATAGCGTATGTTCTACCATCAAGCTTGTGTTTGACCTTATTTAACTTTACCAAATCCTCCTTTTCCAATAACTCAATCTATTTCAAAGTCAGTAAGATCTATTCTTTTAAGCTTAGGCTTTCTATTCAATAACTGGCAAGTCTCCATAGTTGGGCACTGGCAATTCCCCATTGTACTAAGTCTTTCAATAAATTTAATAACTATTGGGGTTTTGGGGTTTTGGGGTTTTGGGGTTTTGGGGTTTTGGGGTTTTGGGG